ATGTGGCTGAAGAGAGTCCAGGTCTTCAGGGTCAGAGGCGGCAGTTGTACCACCAGCCTGATCAAGAAAGCTCACCAGAGACTCTAGTTCCTCAGGCAGCTGAGACGAGCTGGTCTGTGAAGCTCAGTCCTCACCTCCTTCTGCTGTTTGTCAACGGCACCGGTGGAGGTCCTTGTTAACCCGGGTCTCGACTGATCCTGTATGGTTTCACTTTGATGAACTCACATTATAGTTTTGGCAAAAACGTGTTTTACATCGTATGCCCTTCCTGACACAACCCTCACATTTACCTGGGCTTGGGACCAGCACAAGCGATGCACTGGCTCATTCTCCCTAGTGGCTGGTTTCCACATTTTTTACATTCACACACCTGATGACCCCCTCGAGTTAGACTCCGCCCCCTCCTGACAGCTGTCCAATGACCAGCAGTTTTCATTGTAACAACCTCCTCCTTCTGCTTCCTGTGCTCTAATTAAGGGTGCATTCACACCAGCCCTGTTTAGTCGCTTTAATCCAACTCTAGCTTGTTTTCCTAGAAAGTCCGGTTCGTTTAGGGAGGTGTGAACGTGCCATCGAACTCTGTCACGGAACAAAAAGGTGAACTCTGGCCCAGGCTAAAGCCTAGGTCTGGGTCCGGTAGAAGAGAACTCCAGTGGTTCCAGTACAGTTTGAATGTAAACAGACCGGACCCGCTCCACAGGACAAACACACATTTCTCTCATATGGAGCCGTCAGCTGACTTGTGTGAAGAACAATATTCTCCATGGTCTTCTGTCTCATCTTCTGCTCATGCTGAGTCCATTGTTGAAAAATGACTAAATATAACTCCTAAAACTGATAAAACTTGATGCCACTTCGTTTTTATTTTTATTTACAGAAGAAGAAGAAGACGTGTCTTCAGAGGTTTTTGTGTCGTTTCTTTCAGTAGTTCTTGGTGCAGCGCCCCCACAGGCGAGCGGGGGAATAGGTTGCTTCAACAGGTTGGTTCAACAGGTTGCTTCAACAGGTTGCTTCAACAGGTTGCTTCAACAGGTTGGTTCAACAGGTTGATTCAACAGGTTGCTTCAACAGGTTGGTTCAACAGGTTGCTTCAACAGGTTGCTTCAACAGGTTGGTTCGACTGCACAGTGCAGTGTGAATGCAAACGCACCAGCTCAAATGTAACAAAAGGTCATGAATATTGGTCCAGAACCGAACCGAGTCTACCGGACTATCTGGTGTGAAAACGACCTAAGTCCACTCTGTAAATTAATTCAGCTGATTATTTATTTGTTGTTGAAACATCAGAGGAGCTACGATAGAGACTGGACGAGTTGATGGACGGTCTGGGGGACAACGTGAGGGACGATTCAGGCCCTCTGGGAGCCGCTGTCTCTAAAGAACGCCTAATTGTTTAGAATTAAATCCTGTTTTGTCTGCAGGGCTGCTTGTTTCGTATCTGGACTCCAGTTAGTCCACTGTCTGATGGAGGAGTCCTCCTCCTCCTCTGGTTGATGTGCAGATTTTATGACCTGCAGTGACGAAGTCGAGGACAATTCTCTGCTGGGTGGGGACACCACTCTGTCTCTGGGAGCGTCCTGCTGTGGACAGGATGCTCCCAGAGGACATTTCTCTGGTCAGGACTTCTGTGGTCTGGTCCCAGGACTGGGTCCATCTCCATGTTGTTTCCTGATCTGCTGGGGTGAGGCGTTGAAGTTCTGCTCCATCAGGTGTTCTCACATCTGTCAGCAGGTGGCGGTGTAACATTAATCCTGTCCTGGAACGAGAACCAGAATTTATGAGAAATAATCTGGATTTCTTGACGGGTCTGGTCAAATTCAGCTAACGACATTCTGTGAGAACAGTGTGAGTTTGTTGACCTCTGTGCATAAATGTATTATGACGTCATAGTATGTTGCTCATGTCTCACGCCATGTCCCGGCCAGGACGTGGCGTGAGACATGAACTTCCTCCACCCTCGTGTTCTCTTCTCCTCATCTGTATGTTGTATGTTGTATGTAACAGGTCTCTCTTGTAAATGAGTCCCCGAGGCTCAATGGGATTAACCTGTAGAAATAAAGGTTGAATGAATGAATGAGTTCTGATGGACTGCTGAAATCTGCTGGAGAAGCTGAACCTGAGATGAATGCTTAATGCTAGCTAAAGGTAGCAAAATGCTAAACGTGCTACATGCTAAAAAAAGAAAAGTATTTGGTCTCTTTAAGACGGGAGTCCACACGGAGAG